CTTATAACGGACAACAACGTTTTCCTCTTTCTTCTCTACAAAATCCTAACCTAAGTTCCCACATTTCATCCTTCGAATCAAAGGTAAAATTGTTCAAGAAATTGTGAAGAAGGAGAGGAAAATGGCAAAAAGCTGTTAAAGAAATTAGAAAGAAGAGAGTAAAGTGAGATTTTGATTTAAAAAAGGATATATATATATATATGAAAGAGATTCATTAAGGGTAGAAGTGTCATTTAAGCATAAAAAAAGGTTACTGTTGGGGCCTTTATTTTTACCACTGACGCGCCTAATTGAAGTGTGTTTCACGCACTTTGCCATGTAGGATTAGAGTGTTTAATTGTTAAATTTTTGAATAGTTGAAGTGCCTACTTGTGCAATAGCAAAGTTTAAGGTCATAGTTGTGAATTGATGCCAAGTTAAAGGTCCTCTTTATGTATTATGCCAAAAATAAATGATAGTGGATGACTGAAATATAACTAATTTTTAGATATTTATCACATTACGTAAGACCATTAAGATATCACTTTTTAGGGAAAAGAAGAGGCATTAAATTAAAAATAAATTCAATAAAATTTCCCATCGTATGAAAACAAACAATTATACTTTATTGCTATCACTATTTTATTGATCACACCCATAAGTAGGAAAAAGTAAAAATAAAAAAATAAGAACCAAATAAGTAATACTTTAAAATTAAAAGTTAAAACATTAAAAAAACTATAAAAAAAAATAGTATAAATTATAAGTTGTCATGTCTAGATGAGATATTGCTAATATAAGTAGCCTATGTTACATATGTAATTCAAGAAGCAAAATTACTTGCTCATAAAAAAAAAACTGATTTTTCTCTTCAAAAATTTCCCTCTAGTTTAAACAAATGAGATATAAGACCTAATAACCAAATACCTCTAAGAAAATTCTCTTTCACTATGTCAATTTTGTGATGTGATCTTTACATTTTGGGCTAAAAATCATACTTCAAGTATAGCTCAAACTTATGGTATAATTGTAAACAAAAATATCCTTTAATTATTCCAAACTTTGCAATAAACATTCTTATGTTAACTTTTGTTAAAAACTAACAGTTGAAATAAAAATATGTGTCAAGCATGTGATTTCCCCAAATCCCTAATTGATTTTCTCTCAATTTGGATAAAAGTCAAATAAACGGGTTAATTAGATTGAATTTGAGCAGGTTATTAAAAATTAGACGCAAAGGTCATAAGTGTAAAATCAGTTGGAGCTTCCTATAATATTTATAAGTTATAAACTTACAGCTTACATTTTTCTACATATGATTTTAAAAGTTTTTTTTAATTCTTGTTGCGTTCATATCTATCTTTGTTTTTTTTTTTTTGTTTCATTGATCAAATATAAAAAAATTATAGAAACATAAAAATTCTCTTATTTAGATAAATTTACTAGTTTTGCATAGAAGATTGGTAATGTTTGAATAATACGTCAGCTACATAACTAGATAAAATTAATTGAGAGCAATAACTATAAAAAATAAATAATAGTGGATAACTGAAATATAACTAATTTTAGATATTTATCACATTATGTAAGACCATTAAAGTATAGCTCTGCAGGGAAAAGAAAGAGACATAAGATAAAAATTAAATTCAATAAAATTTCCCCTCGTATGAAAACAAACAATTATACGTTATTGCTATCACTATCATATTGATCACACCCATAAGTAGGAAAAAGCAAAAATTAAAAAATAAGAACTAAATAAGTAATACTATAAAATTAAAAGTTAAGACATTCAAAAATATACAAAAAGTAGTATAAATTATAAATTGTCGTGTCAATATGAGCTATTGCTAAAAAAATTAATTAATTGTTTAAACAAACTGATTTTTCTTTTCAAAAAAATCCCCTTCTAGTTTAAACAACTGAGCTATAAGACCTAATAACCAAATACATCTAAGAAAATTCTCTTCACTGTTTACGCAAATGGTATACTTGAACACAAACTCACTATCAAACCTTCTTGGTTCATTTTACCAGAAACTTAACATGTATGCTTGCTCTATAGAAGCTAACAAGACTAGAAGAAAAGAGATGTTTCTCTTGCCTTTTATACTAGTAAAAAAACACAAACATGCACATCTACAACTTTAGATGTCAATTGTCTCAACAGGCAATAAGCACCAGCAAGTTTTTCAACAAAATCTGATAATTGTCTCAAAATTTTCAATAAATTTGATGGTAACGAGAAAAACAGAAAAAGGTCGGTTACAACGAGCCAACAAACAGCAAAACCAAAGTTTTCATTCTTGTCAACATGACTCAATAAAAGAAACCAAGAACTTTTCCACCAACATTCTTTCTCCTAGCCTCTTCGTGGTCCATGATACCAGCTGAGGTAGTCAGCACAATGTACCCGAACTGCAAGTTGAAAACCAATATGCAAAGATCAAAACATAAAATAGACTATACAAAATAAAACTAACAAACGAGTACGACTTTTACTCCATCTGTGATCGCAGAAAATGTCTGCAATTTCATTTGCTTAGTATCAAGTATGAACTACATATGATGCTTCAATCCACAATATGACTGTTCAGATACTTCTTCAAAGAAACACACTTCTCATGGACTAATACAAAAATAACAGCAGATCGAGATCTGTTAGCCAAGCCATAAGATACAAAATTTCTCCTTTGGATAGACAGGAATGCTTCCTTTACAGGAGACCCTCAACTGCTAGCATCTACAAAGAGCGCTTCCTCCTTTGGACGGATGGGTCTTGTAAGCATTACAGATAAGTACTCAAGATTTTTACTGCTTAAGAAGAAGCAATAATTTTCAAATATCATTTTCTCCCTTTGAAACAAAACTACATTTTTCAAATTTCACAATGAAACATTGGTCAAACGCCCATATAGCAAGCCAATTCATGATTCGGCAAAGAAGGAATAAAATTAATAATGTCTATTTCACAAGCTAATATGACCATGACTTGACATTCACCCCAACAATCATTTCGGAAGCTAGAAGCAATGCTCAATTTGGAGATAACCAGAAATGGAGTTCCATATATTGATCAAGGGAACAAAGTGAATATATTAATTACTATACCTGTCGGGAAGGGAGCAATCTAGCAGTCCATCCTTCAATCTCCTTGACTCCAACATCGAAGCAAGGACTAATGACACCACACTTGTTTAGCCTTCCATTCAGTTCGACAACAATCTTTCCGGACCTATGATCATCGACGTACTCAAATTCTCCAATGTAACCTACACATAGATAACAGTAAGAAAATGATAGGGTGATGCTAGCAGTGCATACAGTTAAGAAATTAACATACCATAGGGTGATGTCATTCATTTAAAAGAGCAATCAAAAACTTAATACATCCACTTTATTGTCTTCTAGTGGTAAAAATATGAATTACCTATAAGATTGTGTTCAAGTTATCAAAACAAATAAAAAGAATTTGTTCAACAATGAAGAAACAAGAAAACTGAGTCAGTGAAAGTATGACAGCTTGGATCACGATCATATGTAATATCGGGAGGATCTTATTCTTCCTTTTGTGATTGAGGACTTGTTGTCTTTTCAAGGTAGCAGGCAACAAAAATATGTAAACACTTGCTTGGTATATGGTTTGAGCTCAAGATTGCCCCAACAGCAGGTGTTGGCGGAGGGAGCCATGATGGCAAGGCAGAAATGAAGTCTACCAAATCTTTCATATTCTTATATGAAATACCATCAATCTGCATACCAGAAACTATGCTTTACTGCATGTCTGCTACTCTTTTCTTCACATCTTTGCCTTCTTCACTTAACATGAGTTTTCTTGCTGTTTTCTCTATGACCATTTTTTCCATAACCTCCCATTCAAACCCAATCTTGTATATTTGGATCAGAGACCTTACGTTCACTAATTGGTCTGCTAGAAATGGTCTGCATATCAAAGGGACTTCATCCAAAATACTTTCAAGCGTAGAATTCCAACCACAATGAGTGAAAAAGTCTGCTACTGCGGGATGTGCAACCACCTGTTTTTGTGGACTACCTGACGACTTGCTATGCACGACTACATGTTCAAGTAATTTATGCACGACTACCTGTTCAAGTAATTTATGCACGACTATCTGTTCAAGTAATTTATGCATGACTACCTGTTCATTCATCAAGGTTGCTACGTGTGAGGCATCTTTTGCTTAGCTCTACTAATTTTATTTGCTTGACTACACTTCTAGAATGAGAAAATTGCATGAACACAATTTGACAAATGATTAACTACCCCTTTAACTGCAGATAGGCAAGAAGATACTACACCAATCAATTCTTTAGAGACACCTTACTCTGCACAATTCAGTCTCAACATTTGATTTCTCGCTACCATCTGTACAAAGAGCTTCTCCTTCCTTCTCTTCACTTGGTGTTTGTCACTGTTAAGGTCACCAAATTATAAACATAGGCACCGGATAAGTTAATTTTATATTCGATTATATATATGAATTAGAGTCGAAGAATTGAAGAAAAGAAGACTATACTAAGGTTGATGTAAGGAAATGAAAAATATACCTTCTCCCTCAGTTTTACATTTTCAGCAGCAAGGATTTTCTCCAGGATTCGTAAGAAAGTGAAGCATTAAGCAAACAAGTAGTAAAGCAGTTGAAAATTCTACGATAGAGACATTCACATTCAACAAAGAAAGGCCTATAGTCTATAGATAGATTGTTATTTTTTTTTACCTTTGTGTGAATTAAAGCTCAAAATATATCAGTCAATGTGGCCTTACCTTTTCTTTTAGTCGCTCAACCTGCTCCTTAAAAACTTGAACCTTAAAAGAACAAGATAAGATAAATGTCAAGTTTCCGAGACTTATAAGAAGAATAGATCATTTCTAAGACTTCGAGAAGAAACCTTTCGTGACCGAATGGTGCTGACAGTCTATTCCAACTGTTTTTCTATCTGTTGTACTTCTTGAAGGGTACGTGACAGCAGACCTTCTCTCAAGAATTTCCTGACGGAAATTTCATTTGTTTAAGAAGCATCTTTAAAACTTACTAAAAAGGGAGAGAAATGACAATGCAACAACTTCTGGAGTAAGGTTTAATTGAACCTTTTCGATGTTTCAAGGAGCTCTATCTTCTTCATTAAATTTGCTGCATTGTTGTGTAAGCTACAGTAAAACTTTATTAACTTTCAAGAAACTACTAGTTGCTTTCTAATTCATCCTATACAGAGGAGACACGAAACTCGAATCTACCTGCAGATGTTGTTCCCCAACTTGGTTTTCAGGTTGAACTCTGTCTTAAGTATGCCTCTTATAGCGCTCTATTATCTCCTGCGTGCTGCGTAATTCTCCCTGTTACTCTTTTTCCGTTACATTTGAATAGTAAAACCATAACTTAGCTCTACTATTTCTATTTGCTTGACTACACAGAAAATTGTTCATTTATCAATATCGACAAGGATTTGCACAACTAAAAAGTGTTAACACTGAAAAGAAACAAAACTGGAAAGTTCATCAAGCAAAGAACAACAAAAAGAGGAGAGATATGAAAGTTTTCAATTCACATGGAATCGAAATCTGGAAGTACAAATATTCACTTGATTCAACAAAAGACATGAAGTGGAGAAATCATGAATAGCATCGGGATTTTTATGTTCTTACCTCACTTTGACTACTGATCATGAAATAGAGAACTTTAAATCCTCCTCTCGAGCTAAACATAGAAGAAAGCAAAAAATGACTATTATATACAGTTTTACACTAATCAAATCAACTCAAGTTTTTGAAAAGTGAAATCCGAAGGTTGTCAAAGTAACGTTGACAGAAAATACCAACATTGCAACAAAAGAAATTAAAAACTGAAAGATATTCCTGACCAGAAGCAGTAGATCAAGTTTTTTCTAGATATTTTGTCAAACACTTTGTGGATCTAGTAACATTCCTTATCTTATGAACAAATTTAAACCAAATTATAAGAAAATTGAAGATAAAAGGCATATTTATTAGCTGATAGCACATGCATGTATACATTACCAGCGAGAAAGAGAGATCAAATAAGAAAAACATTCAAATCGAGATTCATCAGTAGGTTGCTGAACTTCAGAAGAAAATTAAAGAGAGAGATTACCCGTTGGAAGTAGAAGAGCGAGCAAACTGAAAGAATGAGAAATTGTTGGTGCTTCAGACTAAAACCGTCGTATGTAGCCATGGAAGGAGGCTTGCTGATGCTTGAGAGAAATTTGGTGAATCTCAAGGCAATCGCTTCAGATGGAATGGAAAAGAGTGACGAGACATTTAGAATTTGGGGACTGAAATTGAATTTGGGTATTGAATGTTTGGGAATTTTATTTAATTGAAAGGAATCTGGTTGTATTTTAAATTTTTTTAAGTAATCGTCATTAAAGCTGAGACTAATTGTTGTTAAAGGGTCAACTTAATTTGTTGTAGTGCATGCTTCTGCATAACAATGAGGATCTTGATGATGACTTTTGATGAAGGTCTAATCATGACCTGACGCTTTCCCCTCTTTTCAGCATTGTACATGCTCTTGATTCAACAACCAATCGATTGTTGTATACTCAATTCTACGTAGTCTGTTGTAAATGGTTTTGTTATAGGACTTTCATCCATCATGATTACAGTTAAGTTGTGCCTTGCGATCCCAAAGTGAAGTGTTTTACGCATTGCAGCACTCACATTACAGGAGAAAGTGTTTTCTGTCAGGAATTTTTTTATTTCTAAGCTCAAACTGAAAAAATTCTCTTACTTAGGATGCAAAAATCACATTCATCTCGCCACACTTGTTAGCTAATTAAGTGAAGAGTTTGAATTGACATAATATGCTTTCAATAACAGGCACATCAAGTATTGAATCGCCCAAAATAAATTGCAATTGCAATTGCAAAAACTAATATAATAGCTTCTTAGTTTTATATATCAATTAAATACAAGCAGTTGGTACATCTCAACAAAAACCAGCACCCCCAAACAAAAAATTATAATCCCAGTCATCATCATGAGCATTATGCTCACTTCCTTCATGGTAACATCTAGATTGATGAGTTTGAACCAACGTGTAATTGTCTGATCCAGTCAACATGATTCCAATCGAAAGCGAACTAGGAGCATCTGATGGATATATATAGAGAGGGTGATGATAATCAATTGTAGTTGTAGCGTTCGCAGAAGCATTTCCCCTCATGAATCCTAAATCTGGCAGAAAACCTAGCAAAAAATTGGTAGAAAATTGAGTAAACTAAGCGAGAACAAGCACACAATCCCTCGAATTCTTCACAGCATATGAGCAATCCCCTCGATTTGCACCTGTCATGGCTTTGATACCATGTCAAATTACTGAAGGTGTATGAATCAACATACCAACAATGGAGAGAAACATTGAAGGAGAGAAAGAGAAGACAAATATGATAATAGAGAGATAATTTGGAGAAAAGGAGCAGATCGTTTCATTCAGCAAAAGCTTACACATATATAGATACATAAGGTGGTGTCAAATCCCTTAAATCCTGGAAACTGTCTCCCTATTTTGTGCTTAAATAAAGATCCACCACATATTACAATATCTTCTACATTCTAGAACTTTGTATTAAAATTAATTCAAAAGTTATACCAAAAATATCAAGACAAAAGTACTAACATGACAGCACTTAGCATCACATACAAAAACAACAACCTTCATCACTCCTCCTTGATGCAAGTGTTGTTGGATACTCCAAGCTTAGCTCTAAGAAGCTCAAATCTTTGTTTCTGCAGTGCCTTGGTAAAAATATATCAGCTAGTTGATTTTCACCACAACAATACATAATATGAACTTCATTTTCCCTTTCAGCTTCTCGAATGGAATGGTATTTGATTTTAATGTGTTTAGTCTTTCCATGAAAGACTGGATTCTTTACCATGGCAACAGCAGATTTGTTATCACAAAGGACTTCAGTTGCTTTGCTTGGATGAAACCCCAAGTCAATCAAGATTTTTCTCAACCATAGAGCTTGATTAACAGCACCGGAGGCAGCAACGTACTCTGTTTCAGCTGTTGATTGAGCCACGGACCCTTGCTTCTTTGTGCACCAGCAAATGACACCTGATCCGAGAGTGAAACAATATCCTGAAGTGCTTTTCATGTCGTCTTGCGACCCAGCCCAGTCACTATCAGTAAACCCCAATAATTTCATAGATATGGTTCTTTTATAAAACACACCATAATCAATGGTGCCTCGAATGTACCTCAAAATTCTTTTGGCTGCTCTGAGGTGAATTTCAGTTGGTAAATGCATAAACCTTAATAGCACACTTGTTGCATACATAATATCAGGCCTTGTGTCTGATAAATACAACAGGGAACCAATCAAACTTCTATAAATTAAAGCATCGACCAAACCAGACTCATCCTCATTCATCAGTTTCTTTCCTTGAACTGCAAGGGTACTTACTGGTTTGCATTTGTCAAGACAAAACTTCATCAATATTTCGGTAGCATATTTCTTCTGAGAAACAAAGATTCCTTGAGAAGATTAATTAACCTCCATTCCCAAGAAATAAGTCATTTTTCCCAGATCATTCATTTCAAAGACCTTCTTCATTTGCTCCCTGAAGTCTTTGATAGACTGTGTGCTGCTGCTAGTCACCAACAGATCATCAACATAGAGAGAAACTACGAGAAAATCATCACTTTGAAGTCTAATATACAGGGTTGTTTCATTGCAGCTTCTCTTAAACCCCAAATTCAGTAAGTAGCTATCGATCCGTGCATACCAGGCCCTAGGTGCCTGTTTCAAGCCATAAAGAGCTTTTCTTAACAAATATACCCGGTCCTCTAAAACCTTCAGGCTGCTCTACATAAATTTTCTCTTCAAGGTACCCATTAAGGAAGGCAGACTTAACATCCAATTGAAATACTTGCCAACCTTGGTGTGCTGCAACTGTAAGTAGCAATCTAATGGTATCAAACCTTGCAACTGGTGCAAAGGTTTCATGAAAATCAATTCCATGCTGTTGCGCATACCCCTTTACAACTAGCCTTGCTTTGTACTTGTTGAGTGTGCCATTTGAATTCAGTTTAATCTTGAACACCCATTTAGTTCCAAGAGCCTGCTTGTCAGGAGGTCTAGGTACAAGTACCTATGTATTATTCTTGTTAATCATATTGAGCTCCTCCTCCATGGCTGCCCTCCATTCGGGAATTTGCAATGCATTGTCTACATTTGTTGGCTCCAACATAGCGACATTGCATCTGCTATATATATCTTCAATGGATCTGGTACATCTTACTGCAAAATCATCAGAGTCCTCCTCTTCTTCTAGAATCAACTCTTCTTCTTGGGCACTTTATTCTTGATTAGTGATCTGGAAAGAAGAAACAACCATCTTCTTCCAGTCCCATGCAGCATCCTCATCAAATTTAACACTTCTACTTACATGGATTTGTTGTGAAATAGGATTTAAAATTCTATATCCTTTAGAAGTGCTGTTGTATCCCAAAAATATTCCAACTTCAACTCTTTGATCAAGTTTATCCCGTTTAACGTCAGGAATATAAGAGTAAGAGATACAGTCAAATCCTTTAAGATGAGCAACTGATGGCTTGGTTCCAATCCATGCTTCGTATGGAGTCTTTCCTTCAACAGTTCTCGTCGGCAATCTATTTTGTAGATAGACAGCGGCATTTACAGCTTCAGCCCATAGCACCTTACGCAGACCTTTCTCAAACAGAAGACACCGAGCCATATTTATAATGGACCTATTTTTTCTTTCACTTACACTGTTTTGTTGTGGTGTGTAAGTGACTGTAAGTTGATGATGAATTCCTGCTTTCTGAAGAAAATCCTTGAATTGATTGGAAGTGAACTCGGTCCCATTATCAGACCTTAAGATTTTTATCAAAGAGCCACATTGGTTTTCAACAGTTGCTTTAAACCTTTGAAACGCAACAAATACTTCATATTTATGTTTCAGAAAGTAAACCAAACAAAACCTCGTAAGGTCATCAATGAATAAAAGAAAATATTTGTTGCCGTTATAAGAAGGAGTGCTCATAGGTCCACACAAATCAGTGTGTATTAGTTGGAGCTTTTCAGTAGCTCTCCAGGCTTGATTAATAGGAAATAGTGATTTGACAAACCCCACATACATTAGAGGTTTCATTTATGGAAGGCATATCTGCCACAAGATCCTTATTTTGCATCAATTTTAAAGATTTAAAATTGATGTGACCAAGCCTCTTATGCCAGACATAAGTTTCATCTTGAATGCTGACATAAGCTCCAATGTCGGTATGTTTCCAATCAAGAGGGAAGCTTCTGTTGTTCATTTTGACTGAGAGCAATTTTATACCAGTTGGATCCATGATTTCACATGTTTTATCTTTAAATAACAGGGCATAATTTTTATCAAGCAATTGGCCAACACTGAGAAGACTTTGGCTAATTTCAGGAACAAATAATACATCAGATATAATCTTCATACCTGAGGGAGTTTGAACAGCAACTGCTCCTTTGCCCGTTGCATCTACAAGTCTGCCATCTCCAAGTCTGACTTTGGAGAAATATTTTTTTTCCAGCCATTCAAAAATGTTCAAGTTAGTTGTCATGTGATGCGTGCATCCACTATCGACAAGCCACACATCATGATCTTGAGTTGCTACATTGCATTCTCCAGCAATAGAAGCAGCAAACACTTCTCTTCAGGATCTTCAACATTTACAGTAACTTGAGCTGGCTCGGCTTGAACTTGAGCTGGCTGGTTTTGATTTATTTTGCACACCTTATCCACATGACCAAACTGTTTGCACAACTTGCATTGAACTCCAGGTCTGTACCAACAAAACTTGTCTGTGTGATTGGTCTTTTTACAATAGGGACAAGGTGGATACTTGGATCTTCTACATCTCCCTCGGTTATTATATTGCTCCTTCTTCTCCTTACCATATCTTCCATTTTGTTGCCTTTTTGATTCACCATCCAACTGAGTTTTAGATCTTTGAACAGCCACAAGAGCGATTTCACTTGTACTTTCTTCCTCTCTAAAAGCTTTCCTTTTTTCCACTGCTAGAAGAGCGTTGGATAGTTCATTCAATGTGACACGAGACATATCCCAGGTATCTTCAATTGAGGAAATTTTTGCTTCAAACTTTTCTGGAAGTGTCACCATCACCTTCTCAACAATCCTCTGCTCTTCTACTTTTTCCCCTAACAATTTGATCTGATTGACGATTTTCATGATTCTATCAATATAATTTTTCACCTTTTTGGTCTCTTTCATTCTTAACATCTCAAATTCTTTTCTTAGATTCAATATTTGCATTTGCCTCA